CTCTATTTCTGTTCCACATCAATGAGCAAAAAGGGGCATCTGTAACCACCATTTTTTTCATTTTTATTATTTTATGTATGTAAAAAAATAAAATATATATTATATTGTAGCAATTGGGGTTATTAATACCCCAACCAACCCTTGTAAAATCACACTCCTTTTCCCCCGAAAATTTGGGAATGAATAGACAGTTTTCTTTTACTTGGTTTTTTGCTCTCCATCATGCTTTTATTTTTCCTTGCTAATTTTCTTTTCTTTTGGTTTTTGGGGTTCATGGGTTGCAAAAGGAGTGGCCACCGTTGAGCGATGGCCGATGCGCGAGAGAGGCCATCTCACGGCCAAGAAACTTCGATGGTTGGTGGTCGGCGATGACCTCAGGGGTCTTTGGGAGTTTCGATGGAGAGGTTGACGTTGAGAGTTTGTTTTCGATACTTGTTTTGTCAGTGATGAGCGAAAGTAAAGGGCCATTTTATGTCGTTTAAGTCTTCGTTGGTCGGTTAACATCGATCATGAGGGAGTGAGGGGGTCACAAAGGCTTGGTGGTCGGTGTTGAGGGTCGGTTTCGAGCCTCTCGGTGTGGGGGAAAGAAAGAACGAAAGAGAGAGTTTGAATTGGAGTTTGGTCGGTCCTCCTCCGGTCATGGTCGAGGTCACTGATTGTTTTAGGTTGGTCATCAGCCTTGTGACCGGCGTGTGACGAGCGACGGCCGAGTGCATTTGAAGCTCTGATAATCTTCTTAGTTGATTTACGTAAATGGGGGAATTATTTTTGTTTTTTAAAAATATGGTAAATCACGCATCAGGTCCCCAATTTCTAAGAGCTTTCTACTTTCTTTACCTATTTTAGGGGTTAATCGTAAAATAGTCACTGTAACTTTAGGTGCAAATTTACATTTTACTCACTAGTTTTAGGGTCAAGTCGCATTCCAGGTACCCCTATCTTTTTCGTGTTTTTACATTTTGGTCATTGACCTTTCTTTTCTAATTTATTGCACTTTTATCATTTTATTTTATTTTATTTTATTTTTGTCACTATTATTATTCTGATTTGATTAAATTTAGTCACTGGTTTTTACGTTTATTCATTTTAGCCACTGATTAGATTATGCTTCTTATGTTATTATGATTTGGATGTGATATTTGCAATTTATTCATTTTAGTCACTTTTTAATTTCTGATTTAGTTACAAACTTTTATTTTTCTTGCATTTTAGTCATTTTTAATTTTATATTTATCCAATTAGGTCCTTTAATTTATGTTTATTTTATTTACTATTTTTTTGTACTATTTTTTATTCCAATTAAGTTTATTATTATTTGTTTAATTTCATAATTTAATTCTATATTTAGTTTTAAATTAGATTAATATTCGAATCAAGATTAGAAATTAGGATTTCACATTAGTTTTAATTAGGGAGCAATTCGAGTCGAGTTTTCGCATAAGATGCCTGATTACTCTAATCGATTGCTCGCTTTTAAAAATTATTAATAATTAATATTTTCTAAAAATACTTTAGCTTTAATAATTTAGATAGAATTAGGTTTTAAATTAGTCCTCAACTTTAGAAATTATTAATTTAGGTCCTTAAGCTTTTAAATCTTTTAGAACTCGATATTTTAAATCTTTGACATTTAGTCCCTAAACTTCGATTAGTGTTTTACTTTTGACATAATTAAATAGGTTAAATAGAACCTCCACTTTTAGTTAAATTTTAATATACTCCTCTTAATTTAGGGAATAATCTAAGTCAGCCTTCGCTTAAATGCTCAAGGGACCATCTCGATTATTCGATTTGATAATTTATTAAAATCAAATAGAATTAATATTAGAGCCTACTTTTTTAGGTTTGAGCTTCTATGTTCCTTTAATTTCATAATTTTACACCTTAAGCTAGAAAAAGCCTTTAATTTACCTTAGCTTAATTAGTATTAAATTAAAATTTGTTTGATTGCATTGTTTTTTTTAAACCTAAGGCAATGTTCACTTATTAGGGAATTAATGGTATATCTCCCGCAAGTATGCTTAGGGGTGACTACTGGTGATTCTCGAAATAGGTCGACATCATTTTCAAAGACTGCATAATGTATTCTAAACACGAGGAAATATTCGGTTATTAGGCACAATAGTTGATCTCGCACATTTACGCTTGGGAGCAAATGTTATCGGTCTTAATAAACGAATACCCTTTTCAACTTTGAATCCGTAATTATTTTCAAATTAAATAAAGATCAAACTCGAAATTTTCGATTTTAAATATAGAGTAATCAACTAGGTACCAATTTTTGGGCGCTTGTGGGGTTCTAATCCTTCCCCATGCGTAACTGACTCTCGAACCCGATTTCTAGATTTTTGCGGACCATAAAAGTTGGTATTTTGATAAAAAAAAATAAAATGTTTTATTAAAAATCACCCGATTTTTATGGTGTCACAATCACACCTTAAATGATTGGTGGCAACTCCTCACATTTCGAAACAATTTTCAAAGAGAAAACTCTGGATTCGGTATCGGTCTTTTCCCCGCCAGGGCGAAAAACGGTGTCGTCAAGAGTCAAACAATTTTCAAAAATATTGTTTTGATTAAAGGAACCTTTTAATATTTATCCTTTTAATTCCAAAACAAATATTTTAAAAGATATGCTCTATTTGAGAAAATTATTTTAAATTTATGTTAAAATATCCGCAAGCCCACATAAGGCACACCGGTTTGGATATTTACGTTACCCATATCGCGTACGTTTGCACTTCTGCGAACCAACAATTGGTTCCACGTTTTCATCAACAACGTTTCGGTCAATTTCTCATTCAAAACTCCAAAAGTATAAATTTTTTCCAACAAAATCTTAGACCATTAGAATGTTTAAATTTATCCTCATGATATTTTTAAATTTTAGTGGGAGAAGAATTTACTAAAAGACTGAGAGTAATATCCTCGAATATTGAATTCAAGAATTTACAAGATTATTATCTCTTACCATGATTTGAATAACTTTGATAAAGTTTGATTAAACGTTGGGATTGAATCATCAATAAATCTCAATTTGTTCATAATCGATAAAGCCATCAACATAAATATTTTTTTTAACTGTTGTAATTGTCAATGATAAACGATTAAATGACTAAAATCAAACCAAAATAATTAGACTGATGAAGATATATCGAATTTCTTCCATGATCAAATTGATCATTGAAAAGAGTATTTATCATTAAGAAAGATTTTCAAGAATAGAAAAACATTATACCTTTAATACAATAATATGATTGGAAGAGTAAAGAAGAACAGAAACTTCGTATTTATAAAACTTGTTCCATATAATGATATCTATTTATTATTTATAGTAGTTTACTAGTAACTAGCTATTAATTATCTGTTATTGACAATTAGTTGATTTAGTAGGATGAAGTATTTTATCTCTTAAGTAAAGTTAGGGGTTCGAATCCTGGTATTTGTTAATTGAGCAAACTGTATTGGGAGAATCGCTCTTACCTCTCCAATATCCAATCCAAATTGATTAATAGATCAGATACCAATAGTTATAAAAAATTATTAATTAACTGTTACTAATTACTAAACTATAGTGGTAACAAATAAGAATCAGATTAAAAGGCGAAAAAGAAAATAAAATTGAAAAATATTATAAATTTCATAAAAGAATAGATACTGATCAAATATTATCGTATTTAGATAAAACGGTGAGATATAAACTTCAATATAAATCGTAGGATTTAATTTTTTTTTAATATCAAATATTAGAAGAAGAAAAATCTTTAAGATGTGGATGTTCAAATTTGAAAACAACTTTTATTAGTTCGAGATTATGATCTTTTATATATATTGATTAGATTCACTCATATCTAAACATAGTTGTTATGGATAAATTTCAATTGAAATCGTAGGTTTTTTTAAGAAAATAATAGAAAAGTTATATTTCGAATGCCAAAAATAAAAGATATCAAAATCTTTAAAATGTGGTTGTTCAAATCTTAGGTTTAAGCAATCAAGTAATTTTGGTGGTAAAATAATTATTTTTATTTCTTAATATTCTAGGTTCAAGCACAAAAATGTTAGGGGTAAGGTTGCTTAATGAGTTGAGCAGCTTGAACTAGACTTGGTCAAAACTCGATAAAGTTCGACTCGAGTTGACTCAACTTAAACTCGACTCGAAACCTTAACGAGTTGAGTTGACCGAAATCCAACCCGACTCGATAAGTATACGAGCAGCTCATTAATTATATATATATATATTGTTTTAATAGTTATTTAAAAAATTAATTTATTCAAAAAATTATTAATTTACTAATAGATAATAAAAAGATGATAAATTACTAATCTATTAATTTTCTAATAAACAACAAAAATATTAAATTATTAATTAATATTTACTACACGAAAAAAATCAAACTCTATTTATTATTTTTAATGTATTTATGGATTGTTACTTTGGAGTTTAGACTTTGAAATTTCTTCATACAATCTTTTGATAAAACTTTTTGGTTAAATTTATTAATTTATAGTATTAGTAGATTTTACCTATAGTTGAAAAAATAAGATAAAAATTTTGATAAGCTTAACGAGTAACGAGGCGAGCAACAAGTTTTTTTTTTAAATAATATGAATCGATCAAAATTTTAACGATTTTAATAAGCAATGAGTCGAGTAACAAAATTTTTTAACGAGCACGAGTTGAACACTACGTAACTCGCGATCGACTCGTTCTATAAGTACCCCTAGTCAAAGGTACGAACGTTCAATACTAAATAGTCGAGACTTATTTTTGAATATATACTACCTTGTAGTTACCCATATTAATAATAAATAAAAAATCTCAGCCTTAAAAACATTTGAGTATTTTTAATATTATGATCTTTCATGAATATCAAATAAGACTGAAAAATATATTATAAATATTTTTTTAGTTTTTTTTAAAGGACAATTAATAAGAATAACTAATTATAGATATTGATTAGGTAAACTCATATTTAAGCAAACTCTTTTTCTTTTCAGAATATGTTTTAGCGATATGGATGAAAGTTTCTGTTACGTATGGGAGGTAGATTCGGTAGAAACAGAAGATCAATCGTTAGACGATTCTATTTTCTCCATTGAAGTACATGCTTCCTTCACATACTCGACCATGGAAGAAGATGATGAGGAACCGGATCTGGCAGCTCAACTCGAGTCTTTGGAAACCGAAACTCTACAAAAAACTCATCGACTGCCACTCGATCAGGTGAGAAGCGATCCTCGATCTTCTGTTTATAGCATTCTCGATTCGATGTACATTCGGGTCGAGAATTTCATGATCCATAGAATATTAGATTGTGCTAATCGAATGTTGAAAGACAATCGTTACAAGAATCGGAAAGTTTTGAGAATGCGAGTGAATGTTGATGTGACGGTGGAGGAATTGCCATTTTTTGTTGAAGATGATGAGGAAAACCAGGGATTAATGATTCCGGCGAGTGAAGGAGCTATTGAAGGGTTAGAGGAAGTTGAAGTAGAGAATCCCATTGATTGTGCAATTTGCTTGGATAATCTAAGTAGTAGTTGTAAAGCTAAGAGAATGCCTTGCTCGCATATATTCCATGCCCATTGCATTCTTAATTGGCTTGGTATTGGTAACTTTTGCCCAACATGTCGATTTGAGTTGTCCAGTTAGATCATGATTTATGTGGGTTATATATATATATATGATATATCCATTTTCCGTTTGAATGCTAGGAAGAAAGTGATTTTTTCTTGGCAATTTTAATTTTATTAAGGATTTAAAAATACAAGTCCAACACCTTTAAAAACCTTCCTAAAACTATTTGGAGGAAAATAGTACAACACAACTAGGATATATGACAACTCGACAACCGAAAAAAACGGACAAACGCCTACTAAATTGACCGATCAACAATCCAAACAAATTTTCAGACATATCGCAGCTAAGCACCCCACATACTCTTTAGAAGACCACTCACCACCATGGAACAACTGACCATGGAATAAAGTGAATTAGTAGGAATAAGGGAAAATATGAGACGAAGAATGATCTACTTGGTCTGATATTTTAATAGGAATTTGTATTTCTTTTACTGTTACTAGAAATGTATGTATAATGATGTGTTCTTTTCTACTTTTTTGCCTTGTGTGTATATATATGATTAGGTATTTTTGATTACATTGGTATTGGTTAAAAAAGGAGAAATTGCATGTTTAGTACCTAAATTATCAATTTTGATATATTTTAGTACTTAAACTTTATAGTTTTTCAAAATCATATCTAACACTTAGTTTTATTTCATTTTAGTACCTCGCCATTAAAAACTTAACAACACTGTATTTTTTATGGGTAAATTACATCATTCATCACTCATCACTCATCACTCATCACTCAACTATCTTCTCACTCCTATTTGGTACTAAAATTAAAAAAAAAGTCAATTTAACTACTCAACTTTTAAATTGCTCCTATTTTAATTACTTTAGTTTATTTTATTAATATTTTTTATGATATGACATTTTTATTATTTTATTAATATATAATTAAAAAAATAGAAAGTTAGAGTGATTAAATTAGGAGTAATTTGAAAGTTAGTAATTAAAAAATTTAAAAAATTAAACTTTATGACCAAAATAGGAGTGAGACGATAGTTGAGTGATGAATGATACAATTTACCCATAAAAAAGGTGTCACGTGCAAATCACTTATTAAGTTTTTCACAATGAGGTATTAAAACTAAACATTAGGTATGGTTATAAGAAAATTAAAAATTTAGGTACTAAAGTGGATAAAAATTGATAGTTTAAGTACTAAACATATAATTTACCCTAAAAAATTCATTCTTTTAGGGTAAAATTGATGGTTTCATAAAACCAGTCAATTCGGATATGTTAATAGCTAGTGTAGGGGTTGATGGTTTATAATTCTGAGTGAAAATTTCACAAATAAGGCTTGTTTGATGATTTAAAAAATGGATTATTTCGTTTTAATCAAAAACTATTTTTGACTAGTTGTGAAAAGAGATTTTGGAATCTCTTAAATCACGATTAGAGTAAAAACTAGTTTAATCAAAACCCTGGCCCTCAAATTTCATATGTTGTCTCGAATTCAAATTCTGAAACAAAAAATTTCTCATGATGCAGTTTTCGGTAAAGTACACAAATGGTCCCTTGATTATAGAATATTATTTTATTGAGTCCTCCGACTATTAAAAGTTATAAAATGGTCCCCTACTATAAGATAATGCTTTTTAAGTCCATTGAGTATTAAATATTTACGATAACCCGACTATTCATTGTGGTCTAAACTCATATTTTACCATTAAGAATTGATGGCAATTTGAGTTGGGCATTAACCTATTAACTGAGATATAATATAATATGAACCCAGAATCTCAAATGATTATCTAATCTCAGTCAGCAGGTTAACGTCCAACTCAAACTACCATCAATATTTTAACGAAAAATGGTGAGTTTGGAACATAATGAATAATCAAGTGACCATTTTGTAACTTTGAATAGTTGAAAAGACTAAATAAAGAAATACTATATAGTCGAGTAACTATTTGTGTACTTTACCCTTACTTTTTATTATAAATGGAATCTTTATTTACAAAAATTTGCAAGATGTTATTCTGATAACAAATCTCTTCGTCTTCTTAATTTAATAATATTCTTTCACTTAAATAATAATAATTTCGAATAAACTTTGTTTTTAAACTACACTCAAATAAATTTAATATCGATATCAATGGAGAACGAGAAAGGTAACCCTAATATCGACTACGACGATAACCTCAGCCCTTATGGCAATTCCAGCGGCTGCCCACCAGAGAGCACCATGGACATCGAATCTCCTCCAGTATTGGAGCGTCCTGGTTCCCCGTTACATATAGAAGATCAATAAGCGTAAAAAAATGTCAGGCAGGATGACCATCATGAAACCTCTTTGCCGACTAACTAGGAGGTGACTGCCATGGAAGCCGACATCGAACTTATCGATCACAAAGGGGAAACTTTCAGAGTTCAATTGAACCAGACAACCCAAAACCATCATATGCTTCGATGGTGACAGGGGCATCCTATGCAGAAACTAGGGTTGGGCTCAATTCGATCCTCGACTCGGATGAGGTTGAAGTTTTGGAAGAAGACTGTATCGTCGACAACTCTGGAATATAAATTACTGTTGGAAAGAATGAGAAACACCGTAATTTTTAGTCTCCTAGGAATAACAATAGGTTATAAAACACTGTTGGACTGAATATATGCACTATGGTGACCCCACGGTGAGCTGCAACTGGTAGACCTCAAAAATAATTATTTCCTGGATAAATTTGAAGACAAAAGGGACCACGCTGATATACTAACGGAAGGCCCTTGGACGATTTATAGGAACTACCTTACAGTTCAACCCTGGAGCAGATCCTTCTCCACTTAAAAAAAAAACCCATTGCATGTCATTATCTGGATTAGGTTACCTGGACTACCATACAGATTCTACTGTAAGGCCTTGTTCCGTCGGATTGCAAGCGTTGTAGGACTAATAGTCAAAGTAGATTAAACACCCAAGCTGGAGAAAGGGGAAAATTCGCAAGACTAGCGGTAATAGTTGATCTTAATAAACCTCTCAAGTCATGCATTGAAATCGATAATTTCATTCAAAAACTGGAATATGAAGGTCTTAACCAGATATGCTTTACGTGTGAAAAATATGGTCATGCCAAAGAAAATTGTGAAATGCTAAACAACTCGGAGGGAACCAGTAACATCTTGCTGGATCATCAAGCGCAAAAACAGTCCCCAATGCCAAGTGTAAAAGAACCTTACGGCCCTTGGATGGTGGTTACAAACAGACGCAGGAAAACGATCAATAAACAAGCACCAACAAATACGAGTGCCAACGTTGAGAAGAATGAAGGAGAATCTAGATTCACTGTCCTTCGAACTGAGGAGAATTTGCAAATCTTAGAAGGCACCTCAGAGTATCCAAATAATACGAGACCCGAAAACCAAGGGACCAATGAAAACATAATATATGGTCGAGGAAAAGGTAAGGGAAAAGATACACAATATAACCATAGAATTGTTAACGACAACCCATCGGTAACACACACCGGCAAGAAACAAGAAAATAAACAAGACCAGGAAAGCACCAGTTAATACGGGTATGATCCCTCTAATCACTAGGAATAAACTAGAAGTCGTCAACGTAAATCATAGGAAAGTGTGAGAAAGGTGCCATTATATCATAACAATTACTGCATTTTCATTGACAAACCAGTGAAGAAATACATGGTTTATATAGCACTTGGTTGTTGAACCAAGAAGCAAACTTTCTAACAGACTTTGACAAATATAACCGTGTAACAACAACCTAACAACTTATGGTTCTGATTTTCTGCAACCCAGCATACACTATCAATTATGAGCTTAACTACAAGCTTCTTGAATCTTCTCCACGCACACCATGCAACATACCCTGGAGCTCGAGCAATGTTAGAGCATGATCATTGATGCTCACTTACTCATTATGCTAACATTCCCTCTACTTCTTCTTCTTTTGTTCTTCTGACCTTGAACAAACTATTACAGCAAGCTCTAAAAACTAATTATAACTAATTTTTAACATTCAACCTTCTTGATGAAAAGATGGACACCCGAAACGAAAGTGCAATACATCTTTCCGTTTGATTTGAATTGGAAGTGCCGATGCTTCCTTCCGTTCGATTTGAATCGGAAGTACCGATGCCTCATTCCGTTCGATTTGAATCGGAAGTGTCGATGCCTCATTCCGTTCGATTTGAATTGGAAGTGTGATGCTTTCTTTCGTTCTTCTTATTAACCTTCATTTCTTTCTTTTTCAGAGCTCGCTGCCTTAGCTCTTGTGCTTTGACCTTCATCTCTTCCGGTGTAAGAGAAGGTTTAGGTGCCTCAGCATTTTTATTGACAGATACCTTGGGCATGTCATCTATGTTTGAATCAGCTTCATGCTTAACTACCCAGTTCACAGCAGCCTCAAGACTTGTCTTACCAGAAAAGTGGAGAGTACGTATTGCTTGTGCGGTAGGGAAACCCATCGCTTCCAGTTCTTCAAGCAGTTTTTTTGTCAACCTCTAGCACAACCATCTCTTCAGACCGGCTGGTGCTACCTACATCAACAGCCTCTTCTGAGTCCATTGCTACCTTTGGGACCTCCAAACTGATTGGCTTTGCTGCCTCCAAAGTCTTATCTACAAACTCGTTATGCCCTGTTCGTTTTGTATGCAAATCGCTTTCTGTTTTGGATCGGCATGGTTTGCCACAAGCGGAGCAAACAAGATTGAGAACCTTCAGTAAATTGAAAATAATATACCAAACCTCATTAGTAAACTCAGGTCCATGCATAGCAGATGATGAGGAACAATGCAAACTTAGACTCATTTGGTGTAAACCGAGACCAGTGAACATCAGTTGAAGAACAATGACAACCCAATGAAGTTTGCATGCATCCATTAAGAAGGGAATTAGTTCAAGATAGCATACAGCGTATGAATTGACCATTGTTGAATTGAAAATAGAAGAAACAGTGACGTTGAGGCATCATATTAATCAATCAAGCCCAGTGATTTCCTCGTAACAAAATCAACTCTGAGATAGGGTACGGTGGATAGCGACGGACGGTGGCTGAGAATTCGGTGACTGA